ACTAATTCTTTAAATCAAATTCCATCTGGATTAGGTTACTTGATTTAATTTCAAGGATTTCCTCTGCATTTCCATTTGGTTCTTCGAGCAAATGTTCAGTGGGACATCTGAATGGATTCTGCACCCATACATAACTGACTGGATCAATGTCAGGGAAATACTGCTCCATCCTTATGTGCAAAGCGATTATATTCCGCACATCACTCAGCTCACAGAAATATTGTCTTCCAAGTATTCCCCCAACTTTGGAAATGCAGCCATTCTACCTGTTTTCATCGTTGTTTCCCAAAAGTCCAGCTTGGATCAAAATGCTTGGATCTTTTCACTCAGAGAGATGACATGCACTCCTGGTCCCTGCAATGATGTGTTCAAAGAATTTAGTTGTGAAATATGTCCACCAAATAGCAGAGAAGAGCAATCCAAACTGAGTCTCTGGATTTCCCTGCCAAGTTGTCATGAACATTTCAATCTCAGTTCTTAATTGAAATACCCTTTCAAGAACATACCCTCGAGAAAGACATCTGACACATGAATAACCAGTGGTTGTGTACTGATATACAGGGAGTCCTCATTGTATGTTATACAGGCATCCCCACATTACGGACACTGTGGTTACAGAAATTTGTCTTTACTGAATTTGTAAATTACAGTAAAACTTCATTAAGGCGGACCCTACTAAGCCGGATACCATTTAAGTCAGACAAAATTGGCTTGGGGAATAAGAAGGGGGTAGAATAAAATTTGTCCTAACATGACGTGTCCGCCACGAGCCTAAATTTTCTGGGGCCAAGGCGGAAAGACCACGTGGTTCACCCATGCTGGTAAACATGGGTAAAGTGATACCATCGTAAAGCAATAGCATCCCTTCCGCTCTATCGCTTCATTGATTGTGTTTCATACCCATTTAGACATGCTGAACTTTATTTTCAAACTTACTTGGCATTGCTAGCAATGTTATTATGTTGTAGGCTGAAGTTGCGTACATATGTTTTGCATTTTTATTGAAAAATTAGACAATAACCATGGCCCCTAAAATAATGTTTGGTGTCCGTAAGGGTGGTGAGAAGACCTCATAAGTGAACGAAAAGATAAAGGTGATTGAAAAACTAGTAAAAGGTGCTACTCCCTCACAAATATGTTTTAAGGCGCTGGGTCTGGTTGTCAATCCACGTGCTCAACATCCGCTCCATACTCTCCATCTCAGCATCACGGAACCTCGTCACCTTCATAGCTGTCAGTAGTGTTGCAGGCCTGACCATCTCCTTGATCTTGTCGGTGCTTTTAACTATAGAATGCACTGTAGAGGGAGCCAAGCCGTGCATACTACCAATTACTGACGTTCCTTCTCCGTGTTCATGTCTTTTTACGATATCCAATTTCACGTCCAACATAACTGCCACACGTGATCTATTAGCAACATTGCTGGGAGTTTTAGGAGCTGGTCGCTTAGGCATTGTGAGATCGCACACAAAACCCAACTGCGAGATCACACAAAACACATGCCAGCACGTGCGAGACTGAGGCGAGCGGGAGCGTATGGCAGAGGAATACGTACACACATACACACGCTGTCCTACACGCGCGGTTCAAAATTTTTGCTCGTAAGAATTTGCAAATAAACGGGGCAACCATTGCAAATAGTAGAAATGGGTAACAATAAATTGATTGCGGATAAACGGGGTTACGAATACTGAGGCTATGAATAATGGGGTTTGCCTGTAATAGGTATAAAATCAAGAGAGTTTCAGGGATTTTTTGACTAAATGTACGTACAGTATACAGTAATTATAAAAATAAATAAAAATGATGGACCATCCAACTTTTTGCTGTTTATAAATCTATTAATTCTACAGTAAAACCTCGATTAACCAACCCTTGATTAACTGACTTTCGGATTAACCGTCAATCCCGAACTCCTAAAAAATTTTTTTTTTTTTTTTTAACTGGGATTAGCCCACCCGGGCACAGGTCACTGACCCACATCGGGGCCTGGGGGGCGATAGTGTAATAATATTAATAATGATAATGATAATAATAATAATAGTAATAAAGAACCATAATCAAATGCAAAAATGAAAAAAAAATCAAGAGTGAGAAACAATATAAGTGAGTTCTGCTATAACGCGTGTTTTGATAACGCGAATTTGCTCTAACGCGATTTATGAATTCGGAACAATATTTGTATAACGCGATCGCTTGTTTGCTATAACGCGATTTTTGCTTACTATTTCTCCAATTTTGTGGTATTAACTGTGAATATGGTAAAGAAGAATATCTCCAAAAAGCATTCTGATGATAGAATTCCCGGTGATTATCGTAAAAGAAAGGATATAACACTTGAAGAGAAGCTTGATGTTATCAACCTCAAAATCACCCTTCTCCCCATCAAGTTACATTCATATTTTTTCAAGGTAAAGTGTTAAATTTACTGTATGATTTCATTATTAGATATGAATGTAACATTTATTTAGACTGTGCTATCCTTTGTGTTAGGCTAACTACTAAATTTTTTCGATTTCGAGTAAACTGCACCTAACCCTATTTTCTCCATAAGCCCTGTTATTTCTATTACGCGATTTTCTATAACACGATATTTTACAAGAACACAATTATCGCGTTATAGCAGAACTACCTGTATGTATGTTGCATTGTCAATAGTAAGAGAAGCAATTGAGACCCTGCAATTGTGTGTGAATGAGGTAGAAAGTCAGATCAGCAACCTGGGACTGGGTCAAAATTTTTGTGATAACATGTTTTTTTACTTTTCCATTTTTTATTCACGGTTTCTGTGCTGGTTCATATTTATTTACTAAAGTGGTTAATGTTTTAAAGCAAATTCTATTGAAATATGAATGGCAAATGAACAAAAATGAATAGAAGGAATTAAATGAGGTAGGTTCGGGAAAGGTACTTTGAAAATACTGTATATGTTGTATTTCCATAGACTTTATGTACTATTAACCGACCTTTCGGATTATCCGTCGGCCCCTTCCCCCCATATGTGGTCGGTTAATTGAGGTTTTACTGTAATTTCTATTCATTCTCAATAATGTAATTTATACATATCAAGAAAAGGGCCCTAGCTATTAATACCCATGCAGCAATACACACCTCCAACACACACCCCCTAACATTTATTATTATATATTCTCCTATGATCAGCCTCTTATGGTGTATGTTTTATCATTGATCAAATATTAAATTCAGTATGGAGTAAGAAGGTGGGGAGGTTTGAGGAAGGGGGGGGGGGGACTGAATGCACACCCCCAAAAAGGTTCCTGCCTCTTCCCTACTCCTCCCCTTGCCTGCCATTCCCATTGTAGTAATTTTTACTTTTTTTTTTATATTATTATTAATTAATAAAGATACATTTACTCTTATTAATTCCTGTACCCTTCATATACAATACAGTACAATACTTTTTATAATGTATCAGTACTGTAATGATTAAATTTGGCAGTGGTTAAGCTTACCTGCCACCGACCCTCCTCCCAGTGAAGAGATCTGGGTGAAAAAATTGCCGTATTATTTGGCTTGTCATGCAATTTTTATGTTAAATTAATAATTATACATTGTATTTTTCTAATGAGTTTAATATTATATATTAATCATGATAAAACATACACCATAAGAGGCTGATCGTCCGAGAATATATAATAATAAATGTTGGAGTGTGTGTATTGTAGGTGTGTGTATCACCTCCCCTCTGCCTGCACCTTGCCCCCTCCCTGCCTCCCTCCAACTCACAGTGTCTCACAGAAAAGACTGTACAGTATGTATGATGTGGTATTAGGGTATTAATTAATGAATAATAAACAATATTGTATTGTTAATGACAGTACAGTAGTTTGATGAATAGTAGTGACAATTCTAGTACTCTGCTATTCATCAAATGACTGTCAATGATGATGCATTATTGCTTATTTATTAATTAATACCACATCATCACACCCACACATCCTATCACCACCCACACACCCCAACACCACCCACACATCCCTATTGTATGACATAAATTTATGCATGGTTTACTATGTGGTGGTGAATTAAAAGATCAGCTGTTGAGGAGTTGATCGCTTGGCAACCATGGTGCATGTTACCACTCCTTTCCACTCCATCTCTCTAATCACCCACACCTTTCTGCTTTCTCACTCCATATTTTAAAATGTTATGTAACGTAATGTTGAAGGGATATAATGTGATAAGTGTAAGTATAAAAAATACAGTATTTTGGCCTTCATGTTTATTCAAGACTTCTTCAGATCCTGAGACCTACCAATCCCCCATCCAACAGTGGGTGTCCTGACATTGTATCAGGTCAGCAATATAAGTCCATTAATACCCCACCCTACCTCCACCTGACATTGTGTCAGGTCAGGTCAGTTACATGAAACCTACTAATCCCTCACAGCTCCAAGGGAGTGGAAAATACATACCAGTCTTTGCTTCATTCACTACCATATATAGATTTTTAGTTTAGATTCTTGGAAAACTCCCCAGCACACAGAAACATTCTGAGGATGTTAGCTAGTGTTTGTGTGTGCAAGATGCATAGTTTATACACACGGAAAGTATTTCCAGTAACCGGAAATATTTCCGGGGATGGGTTTTTTTTTTGGATTTGAGAAAGTCCCCAAGTTAGCTGGAAATATCTCATCCCCGGAAGTGCTGTGAACCAATTGTTCTGGCTAACAGGGATATCACTGTATTATGACATTAATGTTATCTTCTATTACTATATTCATTACAAATGCATTATATACCAGATTAATTATAAGCAAAATAGATTTTTAAGGTTGGCTTGGGAACCTACCCACCATTTTTAGCATTTTGTCTATGAGAAATGGAGTTCTGAGTTCCAAAGAAATTATTAATTAAATTTTTTTTGGAACACAACCTGTTCGTAATCCAGGGATTTCTTGTTTTCCTAATCCTATACTCTATGTAATTATGTACTGTATTTAGAATTAATCAATTGATTACTTACTGATAATATGCAGGAATAAAAGACTCCAAAGCCCAGTCAGAAGTCTTGTCTCATCTGGATTGGAATGCCCAGCTTCAGCTGGATTACAAAACAAGAAGTTAAAAAAGAATCACATCATGGATCATAAGAAGGACTTGTTCAGTGCTGGTGTTTCTGCAAATGCTCCAGTTTCCAAGAGTGGAAATGATTCCCAAGGTGAGGAGATGCTTTCACCAGGTATCAGCAGCACAGAAGGTTAGCAATTATTTTTCATATTTTAAATGCAGCCAGTTATAGATGTATATCTTTCAGAAGGAAGTGTTACAAGTTACTGTATAACAATTTCTCTTGTGTGCAATGAATTGAATTCATATCATTTAGAAAATTAAATAGAAAAGCCGTTTTTTTTCTAAAAACCAGTTTTTGTGATATGACCCAGAATGTGACGCTTAGCTTTTAACCTAGGTATGTTGATGCCTAGCAATAACTCGCCAGGCCAACATACAGGCAATTAAAACATCTAATAATTACTTAAGTAATATTAGGAGGACACGTCGCTACCTGGCATTTAATTGCAATTGTCGAAACCCCTGCCCTTTGCCCCCCATCGCACGCACTGCCACCTTCATCTCT